GGAAGAGTAGTCTCCTGTTCAGAAGGCATCTTTCTCCCATGCTATTACGATTAATTTATTACGATTAATAGCATGGGAGAAAGATGCCTTCTGAACAGGAGACTACTCTTCCAAGTTCTAGAACAGACGAGAATCATTGTGTCTTTCCGAAACACGATATATCGATATATCTTTGCTTCGCATTCCAGTAAACTATAACGTGCTCATTTGTACAGGGTCGTTCCTAGACCAATTGGAGGCTCTGGACACTTTAGGATAATGGTGCCCCAATAAGTATGATGTAACAGGGGACTATTTTATTAATAACAACCGAAAGAGTTTGTAAGCAAATAACACCCACCGTGCCACCAATGGCTCGCTTAATGGTATGATGGGTCCGGTGGGTAAACTGTCATGATTTTCATATATTATTTGATTTTTTTAAGTAAGTCCCTTTGAAACCAAGACTGTTACCATATTATGTCCTATAAGTCGAGGTAAATAAAATATAATTATACGCTATTAAGTCTCGATTTTTTAGAATCAAATAATACGAGTACGTGAGCAAAATTTTATATTTATTTAACTGTTATATTCCAGATACCAATGTCGAAGTAAAAAAAGTCGATAAGTACATAGATATATATTATGTATTTGAAGTCAGTAATTACCTTTAGGATTTTCGAAAAAGGAACATCTTTATTGGTTATCTAGGTTTCGGTTGGTGATTTGTCAGGAACTAGGGGGCCACATGGATGGGCACTTGCTCGAAGTGGTCAATAGAAAAGAGGAGTCTGCGTATGTACCTGAGTTTCAGTAAGTCGCAGCGAGGAAGAGAACTCAGCTCGCTCAGCGATGCTTAAGTATTGCTTGTCCCTGAACTTCTTCTCGAGTGCCAGGAGTTGTTGCGTGGTGAAGGGCGTCCGCGGTTTGCGGTTGGGTTTGTGCTTGCGCAGCTGGCAGCGGACCACAGGCGGACCACTCGGAGGACCTGCTGTGGAAGAACGAGGTACTAAGTAACAATGAATAGAAACATACATGTAAAACAATAAATTTATATGACAGTGATTCAAAATTTTATTGTATTAAATGATAAATATCCACCAAGACCACAGTTACTGATGTCGATTATTTCATCAAAGTTTTAGTCACTTTTTGACAAAATGGTGGGTTTATTTCGTTAATCATTTCACGAATTTTGAGCTTTAAGGCTGCAATCGATTCGATTGGCGCCGTATATAGACCCTGTCTTTAACACAACCCCATAAAAATAATCCAGCGGTGTTAAATCACATGATCGAGCTGGCCATTTAACGGCTGAATTTCGTGAAATTATGCGATCGGGAAATTTGGTTTGCAATGAATTTATTGTTTCGGTGACTGTGTGACTTGTGCCGTTGGCATCCATATACATATGTGTTGCTGTAAACAGGCATCATGGTCATCAGAATTTGTAACAAGATTGAATATTAGAGATAGTTTCATCAGAATAATACATAATTTCGGGACCTTCTCATGATAATCGATGAGCCACTGTTAAGTCAAACTGGGCTATATTTTTTAAATGTAAAATAGATTGACAGTAGGATCTTCATGAAATATTTTTGTGCGCTAATTTTTTTTTCTGTTTTCTTTATATGAGGAAAGACTCTTCAATCTCACCTAAGTGACGATGCTTCAAAATGTATAGTGAATTGTCTATTCTGAATGAACGCCAAAAATTCCTACTATTTTTTGAATTTTATCAGACGTGAAGGGAGGACAAAGAGAACAATCCAGAAATCGATATTTTTATATTGTTCTCTTTGTCCCCTCTTTACGTGTATTCTCTGTAGACATTTATAAAATATAATTGTCATAACAGTTATTTGTAATGGTAATTGAAACATATCGAGTTCTTAAGTTTACCCATTGTTACACATTGTTAATGAGAATATTTTTGAATAATCAATAGATTCAGGCGTTACTTTGTGGAAATTTATGTTAAAGAAATTGAAGTAAATTAGTTTGTCATTCTGCGAACCCTTTGGACATTTTACTTTCAAGTAAATTACTTCCATTTTTTTACAATTTTTTCGGATTAAAATAAAAAATATGTCTGACAGTGTTTCCACTGTTTCCGCCTCTTTACAGATCCCACAGTCGGTTGGTTGGTTGAATTACCGGGGGAAGAGGATCTTGAAGCCTTAACTATCACTATAATAAGTAGCAGTAGAGCTCCTTGTGAAAGAGTTCGTCCAGGGGAGTACTGCTACCTTACCTATTTTCTGTCACCAAGCAGTAACGTGAGCATTACTGCGTTCCGGTTTAGAAGGGTAAGGGTGCTGGTGAAATTACACGCACATGGGTCTTGTCAACTTATGTCTCAGGGTGACGGGCGCACTAGAAGTGTCCCTCAGAACTATGCGATTTAAAGCTCTGAGTGGCACTGTAACTGTTACGGACAGGCATGTAGCTTACCATCAGGCGCACGACTTGATTATCCCGTCATTTGATATTATATAAAAGAAATAAAAAATCACCAGCACTATCATCTTTCAAAATCGAAACGCAGTAATGTCACCGAAACGCATTACCGCTTGGCGGCAGAAATGAGTAAGGTGGCAGTATTTCAATTGACGAACTCTGTCACAAGGAGCTCTATACTATTATAATACACTCCATTTGAGTATAAGCGATTTTTCATTAAAAAAAATTGTTTCATTATCCATTATAAGGCCAATTTCAACTTTACCGAAATTCGTGTCGCCTGCCTGCAATGCAGGTTAACAATTGGACAAGGTAATAATCTATTTCTGTGTACCCTCCAGGGCGTGAAATTTGAGTTTAGTTTACACCTAGAACTAACTGCTTACTTAGTACCGTTTCGTAACGCGTTTTGATGGGCTGTTTTAGCTAAAACCGAATGTTAGGTAATAAAGTGACCAGTGTGTGTTTAACAAAAAGTTTTCATTTTTATCCATGGTTACTATGCATCTTTATTAGCTTGAAATTTCTTACGAATCGATGTACCTCAGCCCGAATTCAAAATTTTCACGTACTAATACGGTTCATTTTGCTTGGGTCGCGTCGAGCGGAATGGACACTGGCTTTATTTCAGAATTAATTTTTTTATTAAAGCAATTAAAGGCATTTGAAAAATGTATCTCGTATACTATACGCGTTCTGTTTAGTTCAGTTTATATAAAAATAAATAACTGGTTTATGAAAAGTACCTACTGAAAACAGCGGTTTTTTTGTAAAATTTCGAGGTAGGTTTGTGTTTTTTTCTATCGTGAAAATTTTTTGGAATGCCCTCAATTTTACTATATATTTTTTGCAAAGTCAAATTCTACAATTTCACTGTTATGCGGTAACAACCAAAGTCATTTGAGGTTGTATAGACTTCTAAGTGCTAGGTCAATGTGCTCGATAGTAATTTAAAAAAAAATTAAATTGAGAAATATCCACTATTTTTCTTGCAGTAATTTCATACTTTATCCACTAGGAAAAAATAAAGATAGTGACAGATCTGCCGTTTTTGCTGATCACGCCATTTAACAAAATTTTTGAAAAAATGTCACAGTCGCCGCAGTTTCTTAAACGGCAGCAGGACAAAGTGTTTTAAAGAGTATGAGGCTCTTAGGCATTTCTATTATATCTTAATATAAAATACAATATGATAAATATAAAACAAGAAACAGTAGGATTTATTTAGATGTTTGTAAAAACATCTAAATTCCAAAATACGGACGAAAGGTCCTCTACTACTCATCTATAGAATTTCATAAAGACTAACGGACATTTACGGAATTTAATAAGACTTTGTTAATAAAGCTCTTTTTGGGACTGACCTTAGTTAGTAAACTTCAATGGTTTCCACATACAACTTCCTTAGCTAGCAGATTAATCTGTGCTGCATACGCAGTCCATAGAATACGTGAATTTATCGATGTTGCTACTGCTAGACTAGTTTACTTTAGTTACTTCCATAGTATAATGTCCTACGGGATTCTCACGTGAGATACAGCGGCAGATATACAAATCATATTTGTGTTGCAAAAACGAGCGGTCCGTTCTGTGTACCGAATAGGTTCTCGGGTTTCTCTCAGAGAAAAGTTTAAGGAGACTGAATGACATGAATTTTGTATGCCCGTAAAAATATACATAAAAAAAGGAGATATCCATAATGTTAAACTTAGAACTAAGTCCAAACTCATGGTACCACGAACGATTCTTTTATGGGGATCTGTATACGTTTTTACGATAAGTTTCCGGAGAATGTATTAAGATTATCATTTCCTAAGTATAAAACTTACATTAAAAGTATTTTAATTGAAAAATCATTTTACAAAATTGAAAAGTGTGTTTTAGATAAAGAAGTATAGAAAGACAACAAGAGCTCAGATTCCATACAATTATGATTCAAAGTGTATTCCATAGCATTAAAGTTTATTTGGAAAGAGCAATCCCTTGCAGTTCCTTGCTCGTTCTTCTCGGGGAAGTCAGCGTAGTGAACGAACAGTAGCTTAAAAAATGACCTATGGAATTAATGATTATTTGATTTGAATTTATTTGGATATTATAAGGCCGTGGTAGCCTATGTTTTGACCTACCACCTCTCAAGCAGAGGCCGTGGGTTCGCATCCGGGCTCGCATCTCTGAGTTTCTCGGAATTTATGTGCAAAATTTAATTTAAAATTTATCATGAGCTTTTCGGAGAAGGAAAACATCGTGATGAATCTGCACGTCGAAGAAGGTTGACAACCCTCGGAAAAAGTCCTCAATTAGCTTTTTTTACGATACTGTATTTCCTAAGTTTGAAAACTACATTAAACATATCAGTGCCTCCATTGAAAAAGGGAATAACTCAAAATCGACACTTTTCAGGAGAGGTAAAAAGCCATACTTTTATTGATTATTGGTTGTTCGCATTTATTATTAGTACTTTTTATGATTTCTAGCTTCAGGTATACGTCTAAGCTTTCGTTTGATGGGTATTGGTAAAAAATTCAGTCATATTTTCTATATTTTTTAATTTTTTTTCGAGTTGTGTCCTTGTTTATGAGTGCTTAACGGTAATAACACAACTCATATTAGCAAACTTTAAGACATAAAACGACTTATTTCCTTAACTGTTGCGTGGTTATAAAAATACTTATGATACTAACCACATTGATAAAATATGCAAATCGGTAAAGGAATAAAATGACAAGTTTTCTTTTGTGATCTATTAACCAATTGCAACACGGTATAGTCGCGGGTATGACCAATCGTGTCCAGTGGAACAAATGGATATACCTTTATGGACACTGTGGAATAATGTAATAGTCGCTTTTAGTCCTGCTTTTTGCCCGTCATTGTGGATCAATATGAAAAGTTTCTTTATTTAAAAATATATCTGCAGTTATTATTTAAAACGCGCATGTATTTTTTGAGTCACTGGAGGCACTGATATTTCAATTGAAAAGTCATATTACAAAATTGAAGACTACGTGTTAGGTAAAGATGGCTCCAGATTCCACACAAATTTGATTCAAAGTGTATTCCATAGCATTTAAGTTTATTTGAAAAGAGCAATCTCCAGAATTTCTTGCTCGTTCTTTTCAGGGAAGTTAGTTAACTGCCTCCGTGGCCGAACGGTTACCATGCCGGACTGCCACGCAGAGGTCCCAGGTTCGATTCCCGGGCTGGGAGAAATATTTGTATGGCCTACATTTATTTCTCTCGTGAGTTTGGGTGTAATTTGTGGTTGTCTATGTGTGTGTCCATGGCACCCGCGACACAGGGTTTCCCTAGTGCGGGGCTATGTTGAGTGTGAGCGTTATTATTATTAAAAGAAGTCAGCGTAGTGAGCGAGCAGTAGCTTAAAAAGTGACGTTTTCAAGTGTACATTTTAATTTTACCTAAGGAATAAATGATTCTTTGACTTTGACCAAGTGACGGGGCGAATAAGCCGTGGGCCTGATGATGAGCGACACGCCTGTCCATAACAGTTGCAGTGCCATTCAGAGC